TATATTCGACCTGGTGGTGATTCATCCCGTTATCCTGGCTTTTCATAAGTTTTACTTTGTCTTTTCATGCATATGCTTATTATTATTAACTTATTTCCGATATCTTAGGTCAAGGGGTAAGCTTCTTGATCCTAGGAATTCGTATTCCTTGGTGTCTGCATGGTTATATAAGCGGAATATAGTTTACGGTGAATAGCGTTAACATTGATGTTATGTCCGATATTATGTATTGTGATGTCTTTAACTTAACTTGTTTGTCAGAGCTTTACTGACACGAAGTTGCATTTCATAGCCCCGCAGTCTTTGCCCCACCCTATCTCTGCTCGCCGTTGTTGTTGCCGTCCAGCTGACGCCGTTAACTCAAGGCCTCATTAATTTCCGTCACTCCTTGTAGGTGAGGGCGGTTGAACCTTGGAGTCAGTTCTGGTTTTTGTCTGCCTGCTTCTTCTTGTGTCCCCTGACCCCGGGAGTTATTATTCCTACTTTATGGCCTGTCGAAGCCCGACTCGCTGTTGCTGGGCTGGTGTTGTTCCCGGCTTTTTGCTTACGTTTGCAGTTCGCCGTGCTCTTAATTTCCTTCCCTCTTCAACCTTATATCGACTATTCGCTCCTGTCTGGGTGCGATTCAATTTTGACTTAGGAAGGTTCTGATTGTCATATGCTTCGGGTCGAGTTGTATAGAAAGTATTAAAGTATGGAAATAACATTTCATATTGACTTAATGATGGTGATGGTTCAGTAGGCGTAACTTGTGGCCTGGTTTAATTGGAGTGGGTGTGAATATCAATAACTTTAGCCTACCCTGTTGTTAAATTCCGACTTTAACGTTACTTTAATAGCAATACAGAATAATTGAGCTTTTTGTCTTAACTAGGCGAATGCGAACTTCTGGTGACCCCTGCAGCCTTGTTATTCAGCTGGGTCTTGCCCGCCTTGAGAGATATACAACACTCTTTTAAATCAGCTCACTCCCCTGTGCACACAGCCTTGAGCTGACCCACTTATCTTTATCTTTGTTTCCTCAGCTGCAGGAGGACAAGGCGTGCTTCTACCTCCCTTTCTGTGTGCACGTGTTCTAATTAGCTCGGAATCCCTAAACACACAATCAGTGATGATTCCTGGCTTTCTGTGGTTGTGATTTAGACAAAGGCCCTCTGTTTCTTCCATTGCCTTTGAGTCGACACTGCCCTATTATTTGCCCATGTGCTGAGGTCATAGAATTCGTTTTGACTTCAGTAATATTAACATTCAGTATTGGATTAGCAAATGGGCAATGGTTCATTGATGTAGCTCGCAGCCTGGTCTCCAATTTGAGCGAGCGCGAGGATCGATAATTTAGCCTACTCTGTTGTTGAATTACGAATTTTGACGTTACTTTAAAACCATGCAGGATAGTTGGGCTTTTTGCCTTAACTATGTCTGGCTGACACTCCCACTGTCTCTGCCGCCTGCACGGGTGACATGTGCCCGTTCATCAGGCCTTATCTTCCCTTGAAGCAAGGTTGCAAATTCTGCCACCCTAGCCCTCTGCCGGTTCATTACTTAACCACACCTGGTGTTTTGCAGTTTGGTGCGCTTTGGTGTGTTTCATTCATTAAAAAAAACAAGTAAAAAGATAATATAAAAAAAATCTCATCAAATATGATTAATCTCAGTTTTGGAAGAAGGGTTAGGATACAACAGGGGCACGGGGCCAGGGGGGGGGGGACACGGCTTCTGGTCTCGGGCTCTCAGCCCCGAGCAGCGCGGTAGTTGAATAGTGAGTGAGTTAAATAGTGAGTTAAATAGTGAGTTGAATAGTGAGTTAAATAGTGAGTGAGTTAACTAGTCAGTGAGTTCACTAGTGAGTGATTTAAATAGTGAGTTAGTTAAACAGTTAGTTAAATAGTGACAGTGAGTGAGTTAAATAGTGAGTGAGTTAAATAGTGAGTTAAATAGTGACATAGTGAGTTAAATAGTGACGTGTTGCGTCGTAGAATTATGAGTAGTTGGCTGCTGCTGCCCGTCTCAGCAGACGAGCTGCTCCAGTGGCGTGGTGCACCCTGGGAAATGTCGTGAGTTCTCAGTCGTCTTGTTCAGTAGTCAACATCGATGGCGAATGTCATCAGCAACCACCGCGGGTGTTGCCATCGAAACGTCGTGGGTTTTTTGCTTTTATTGTTTTCAATCTATATATGTTTTAATTCTATTTTAGTATTTGTATTTTTTATCTACGTGACTTTACCGAAAGAACCAAGAATATTAATTGCCAGAGGTGTGGACTCGAGTCATGTGACTTGGACTCGAGTCAGACTCGAGTCATGAATTTGATGACTTCAGACTCGACTTGGACTTGCATAACAATGACTTTGTCCCACCTCTGAGGTGTGGACTCGAGTCATGTGACTTGGACTCGAGTCAGACTCGAGTCATGAATTTGATGACTTCAGACTCGACTTGGACTTGCATAACAATGACTTTGTCCCACCTCTGAGGTGTGGACTCGAGTCATGTGACTTGGACTCGAGTCAGACTCGAGTCATGAATTTGATGACTTCAGACTCGACTTGGACTTGCATAACAATGACTTTGTCCCACCTCTGTTAATTGCTGCAGTCACGAAGTCAAAATAGTTGAGTTTAGTTTGAGTCCCATCCCGACTTGGAATCCACCACCGCGAGGCGACCAATGGGAGGGGAGGAGCGAGGCGACCAATGAGAAGAGCGGGGCAGCAGCAGGGCTCGTCCCGCGCTCTGATTGGTCCCCTGCTGCAGGGGGTTTCCAAGGCGTTGCGATGGCCCCGGGGGCGGCGCCGCCCAGAGACGGAAACCCCCGAGGTGGCGGTGACGTCACGGCACAGACACGCCCACAGGGGCTGGAGGCAGCCAATGGGAGACTGGCGTGGTGAGACACTGAGACACAGAGACACAGAAACAGAGAGAAACGTAGACACACAGTGACACAGAGACCCAGCAAGAAACAGACCCAGTGAGTGCCAAGTTAATTAGTAAATCGTGCTCAGTAATGAAAAAGTAATGAGTGTGCAGTTAACTCGTGAGTAGTTAAGTAGTTAACTCGTGAGAAGCTAGTGAGTAGTTAAGTAGTGAGTAGTTACATTTTGATTTAAAGCTTTCGTGACTGCAGGGATTCATATTCTTGGTTCTTTTGATAAAGTTACGTAGAAGGGAAATAATAAAATAATGATTCGTTTTTTTTTCTGTTTTTTTATTTCCCTTCTACGTGACTTTACCGAAAGAACCAAGAATATTAGTCAGTAGTTAACTCACGAGTAGTTAAGCAGTGAGTAGTTAATTAGTGAGTAGTTAAGCAGTGAGTAGTTAAGTAGTGAGTAGTTAAGCAGAGAGTAGTTAAGCAGTGAGTAGTTAACTCACGAGTAGTTAAGCAGTGAGTAGTTAAGTAGTGAGTAGTTAAGTGAGTAGTAAATTAGTGAGTGCTTGAGTGGAGTGGCCTCGCGTCTCACGCGGTCACGTGACGCTCGGAATTCCCCCACCACAAGGCGACCAATCGGAGCGAAGGAGAAATGATGACAGCCAATCGCCGCGAGGCACGGGGCTCGTCCCACGCTCTGATTGGTGGCCTGGTGAAGGGGATTTCCAATGCGTTTGGCGCAGAAGCTGCACGGAGCCAGCCGGCAAAACGTGTCTCCTCCTGAGCCCCGTCTTTTTTTACGATCAGTGGAAACAAGAAGATGCTCGGTGTAGTCGGCACTTTGCTTCATTCATCATTTCGTATTTTTTTTACTTTGCTTTATGTAAACCCCCACCTCTCGCTCGCTCTCTCGTCTCTCTCCTTCCTGCTGCCTGTGCTGGACACACAAAGTGTCTCCGTGTCTCGCCTCGTCTCCGTCTGTTTCTCACTTCCTCCGTCCCCTCTCCTCCCTCCCTGCATCTCATCCACGCCACTCTCCCACCTCCCTGTGGGTCTCTCACCCTCGCTCTCATCACCCCCAGCTCCCACTTTGCCGTCTCAATCTCCCTCTCTGTCACTACCCCTCTCACCTTCCCTCTCCTCTCTCTGTTTTACTCTCTTCTCTGTTTCATGCCCCCCTCTCACTCTCTCACCACCCCCCTCTCTCTGCCCCCCTCTCACCGCCCCCCCCTCTCACCGCCCCCCCCCTCACTGCCCCCCCCCCTCACCGCCCCCTCTCACCGCCCCCCCTCTCACCGCCCCCCCCTCTCACCGCCCCCCCCCTCACCGCCCCCCCCTCACCGCCCCCCTCTCACCGCCCCCCTCTCACCGCCCCCCTCTCACCGCCCCCCTCTCACCGCCCCCCTCTCACCGCCCCCCCTCACCGCCCCCCTCTCACCGCCCCCCTCTCACCCCCCCCCCTCACCGCCCCCCTCTCACCGCCCCTCTCTCACCGCCCCCCTCTCACCGCCCTGTCCCCTCTCTCTCACGCACTGGACCCAGGTCATCGAGACAGGGAACGTCTTTTCCCACATAGTGACGATGGTAACGATGGTGATACGTGCACAGCGCTAGCGGTGTCATGCTGTGTGCATCGTGCATCAGGGTGATGCGCTGTTTGGCGTGACCAGGGCCGCGTTTAGGTGAAGGCGGCCTACGGCTGATAAGAGGGAAGGGCGCAGGGACAGATGAAGTCATTAAACTTTATTTATTTATTTAGCCAAGTAGACTGTGCACATTCCACTCGTGGTGAATTCATTAAACACAGATCACTTCACTCATCTCTTCTAACATTTCCCCTCCTCACTTGAGCTGCTGTGGCAAAGTCACCAACGGAGTCCGATGGCCGCGCTACCCACGAGAGGTGTTCTGGGTGAGATCGCGTGAATTGACGCTCACCCAGAACACCTCTATGACGGGTCATGTTGGTCACAACAGGCTGCGTGTTAAACTGGCCACGCTCTCGTCACTTCGCTGTTACTTCGACATGGAACGGAGGGCCTAGAGGAGGGTCTAGAGGAGGGTCTAGAGGGGGGTCTAGAGGAGGGTCGAGAGGGGGGTGCGAGCTGTCCGCGGTGTCGCTTGTGCCTCAGGAGACGATGGCAGCGGATGTGGAGGCCCACAAGCTGCTGCTGCGAGAATGCCTCGACGATATCAAGAAGGTCGACGGTGGCAGCAGGTGAGAGACGCAGCGAGGATTGCGCAATCATTCCTCTCCTGAGCACGAGGACGTGATCCCACACACAAGGGGTGGCTCAGTGGGCATCAGCGACGGGGTTCTCTCCGTGCGTCTGAGCTGTGCGAGGCGACGCGTGGAGAGCGGCAGTGCCCAACTCCACGTGTCACTGTGCACCACCACGCAGTGCGTCACTGTGCACCGCCACGCAGTGCGTCACTGTGCACCGCCACGCAGTGCGTCACTGTGCACCGCCACGCAGTGCGTCACTGTGCACCGCCACGCAGTGCGTCACTGTGCACCGCCACGCAGTGCGTCACTGTGCACGTCGCTGGGCTAGTGGAGCGGCGGCATAGCGGTCGACGCCGCGCTGCGAACCCAGAGACCCGAGTTCGATTCCTGACCACGGCCAACGCTGCTGACCATTATCTGAACTGGTCATGGGCCTCCCATAGGTCGATTTTATCTCAAAATGAGTATCTGGTGCGGTGTGTAAACCACCACCCCCACCACGACCCCTTCCACCCCCCCTCCACGACCCCCTCCACGACCCCTTCCACTACCCCTCTACCCCCACCATGGTGTGAGAGTTAACATCAGTTACCTTGGTGTAAAAGTTAACATCAGTTACCATGGTGTGAGAGTTGACAACAGTTACCATGGTGTGAGAGTTAACAACAGTTACCATGGTGTGAGACTTAACAACAGTTACCATGGTGTGAAAGTTACAACAGTTACCATGGTGTGAGAGTGAACAGCAGTCACCATTCGAGTGCCACGCTGCGTCTCTGCGCTGTGCAGGTACCAGGTGGCCACCTTCATCCCTCCCATGCAGAAGATCAATGATCTGAATGAGAAGCTCAGGAGGCTGCCCAAGAGCCTCTGTGAGGATGTGGCGGACGTGATGGTACAGCAGGGAGCAGCTGGTCAGTGATACAGCTCACTCACAGCTCACTCTCACAGCTCACTCACAGCTCACTCTCACAGCTCACTCTCACACACAGCTCACTCTCACATCTCACTCTCACTCACAGCTCACTCTCACACACAACTCACTCTCACTCACAGCTCACTCTCACTCACAGCTCACTCTCACAGCTCACTCTCACTTACAGCTCACTCTCACTCACAGCTCACTCACACACACAGCTCACTCACACTCACAGCTCACTCTCACAGCTCACACACACACAGCTCACTCACTCCTTGTTAACAGCACACGCAGCTCACACAAACAGCACACACAGCTCACACGTAGAGCACATTCACATCGACATCAGTCTCAGCTGAAACGCAAGCAGACGGGTGGTCAGTTACACAGACGCCACACTCACACGCACAAACAGCACACGCATGTGCAGGCACACACAGTCACCTACAGGCACGTACACAGCCGCGTGCCTCCACACGTGGTGCTCTCGTGTCCGTGTGTCTGTGAGTGGGTGTGTCTGTGTGTCTACGAGTGGTGACTCTGTGTGTCCGTGTGTCTGTGAGTGGGTGTGTCTGTGTGTCCGTGTGTCTGTGAGTGGGTGTGTCTGTGTGTCCGTGTGTCTGTGAGTGGGTGGCTCTGTGTGTCTGTGTGTCTGTGAGTGGTGCCTTTGTGTGTCCATGTGTCTACGAGTGGGTGTGTCTGTGTGTCTGTGTCCGTGTGTCTACGAGTGGGTGTGTCTGTGTCCCCACGTCTCCATGTGTCTCTGTCTCCACACAGAGCTGCTGGCCCAGGCTCTCACATCTCTGTCTGACAAGGACTCCCCGGTGCCTGACGCAAACTTCAGACCCATCAACGCCACTGTGTGGGTTCTCTGCGCATACACGGACTTCAGCCCAGCACTGGGTGAGTAGCACGGAGCGAGTAGAGAGTGGTGGTAGTGGTGATAGAGTAGAGTAGAGAGTGGTGGTAGTGGTGGTAGAGTAGAGTAGAGAGTGGTGATAGTGGTGGTAGAGTAGAGTAGAGAGTGGTGGTAGTGGTGGTAGAGTAGAGAGAATGGTGGTTGTCATGGTGGTGCTGTGAGAGTTGAGTGGTGCTAGTGGTTGTGTTAGTGGCGGTGGTTACCACAGCGCTAGTGGTGCTGGTGCGAGTGGTGCTGGTGCTTGTCGTCGTGCTAGTGGTGGTGGTTTCCAGGGTGATTGTCGTGGTGGTGGTGCTGTGAGTGGTGGTAGCGGTGCTGGTGGTTGGTGTTGGTGGTGTTCGTGGTTGCGTGGTTGTTGATTTGGTTGTTGTTGTGGTTGTTGATGTGGTTGTGTCAGGCCGTGCGGTGAGTCAGTGCGGCACCATCAAACATCTCCTGGACATCCTGAAGCACCAGCCACTGTGGGAGCGCAGCAACACTGAGCCGGTACGGGGACACACGGGGAGACACGGGGAGACACTGGGACACACGGGGAGACACGGGAAGACACGGGGAGACGTGGGGAGACATGGGGACACACGGGGAGACACGGGGAGACACGGGGAGACGTGGGGAGACACGGGGACACATGAGGAGATGCGGGAAGACGGAGAGACGCGGAGAGACGCGGGGAGACGCGGGTACACACACAGGGAGACACGGGGAGACATGGGGAGACACGGAAAGACACGGAAAGACACGGGGAGACGCGGGGAGACACGGGGAGACACATGGGGTGAGTAGATGATGGCGAGTAGTAGATGATGGCGAGTAGTAGATGATGGCAAGTAGTAGATGATGGTGGGTAGTAGATGATGGCGGGTAGTAGATGATGATGAGTAGTAGATGATGGCGGGTAGTAGATGATGGCGGGTAGTAGATGATGGCGGGTAGTAGATGATGGCGAGTAGTGGATGATGGCGAGTAGTAGATGATCGCGGGTAGTAGATGATGGCGGGTAGTAGATAATGGTGGGTAGTATGTTGTATATGTTGGATTATGAAATTTTGATAAAAATAATAAAAAATTTAAATTTTCCAAAAAATGCGTAAATCGCATAAATTATGTTAATGTGTGTATTAATATGCATAAATTATGATAATCACGGAGATGATCGTAGTAATTTATGCGGATGCTTGCGATTATGTTAAATGTGTGCAGTTATGATAATTAGGCTTAGCTTCGTTATCCAGAGTTGTATCAATCAGGATAACACGATTATTATTGATTAACATTTACTGATTATCTTAGTATGTGTTATGTTATTTTAGGTTTCCAATTTCATATCTCATCACAGGATATAGTTCTTAGGAATAAGACAGTTTTGCATGGACTTGGAAAGAAGCACTCGAACAGTTGGTGTTAAGCAATTTTAATTCTAAACAAACACATGACACTCTAATATGCAAAGGCGAAAGCATACGTCAATAAATTCATGAGCAAGATTATGCCAATTAACGAAAATGAATGACTAAAACACTTCTTATTTAGGTAACTCGACGGCAGCAACTGCTTTGCACGATCAGTTGATATTGAACGCACCACCTTGAAATGGCAACCCTTTTTGAAACGCAAAGATAACTTTTTTAAAGTCTTATTCGTGTGCGTGTTGTGTGTGCGTTGTCCCTTTTTAAAATTAATTAAATTTTCCTTAGAGCCGGGAGTTGTGTCGTTAGCTTGTGGGGTGTGGGAGGGAATATACGAAGAGCGGCCAGGTTCTCTCTGGGTTGGGCGTGGCCGCAGCGAGCCGTGCTGCTTCCTCGCTCGGGCGTGTCTCTGCTCGTGCGCTCTCACTCTCCACTGCTGGACGACGAGTTTGCACGATGCTCGCCGGCGTGGTGCGCGACGATTCCGTCGTCGCTCCGGACGTCTTGTCTGTTCTCACTGGGTGTTGGTCGGTGTGTGTATCAAACACACTGCGCATTCTATATCTCTTTCTCTCTCTTGGTGGCAGCCCCCGGCTTCTCCACTGCTGGACGATTGTTGAGTCGGCACGATGCTCGCCGTCGTTCTGGACGTCTTGTCTGTTCTCACTGGTCGTTGGTCGGTGTGTGCATCAAACACACGGCGCATGCATTGGCGCTGTCCTCTTCCTCACAGCCGTTTGATCAGGCTTTCTCCACTGCTTCGCGCTCTCTGCTTTGCTCGCTTGGTCGACGCTTGGCGATTTCTGCCCTTTTACAGGTTTATTGCTTGTCGTCACTCTCTCTTCTCTGTGCTTTCCTTTGTTCGTGCAGCTGCCAGCTTCACTCGCACTTAACTTCATTCTGCGAGAAGCGACACCTGCTATCGGCATCGGTGTTTGCTCCCTCACGACGCTCCGCCAGCCGGAGCACGGCTGAAACCCAGCCTCGACCCAGGTTGAACTCAGACTTCTGCGACTCGAACGACCCCTCCTCGTTCCATCACTTCTCGAGGCACGACGCGCCCCAGCTCCCTTGCGAGCCCCGTCGCAACGCTGCGTCGCAAGCCGAGTTGCGAGACTGAGCGCGACTTGAACAGACTGCACTCAGGCGGTCACTCTAACGACCCCTCGTCATCCCATCTCTCCTCGAGGCACGATCTGCCCCAGCTCTCTTGCGAGCCCCGTCGCAACGCCGCGTCGCAAGCCGAGTTGCAAGACTGAGCACGACTCGAACCAGACTGCACTCAGACTGTCACTTTAACGACCCCTCGTCATCCCATCTCTCCTCGAGGCACGATCCGCCCTAGCTCCCTTGCGAGCCCCGTCGCAACGCTGCGTCGCAAGCCGAGTTGCGAGACTGAGCGCGACTCGAACAGACTGCTCATTCGTGATGTGCGCTTGTGCTTAAACTCAAAACGTGACTCCCCTCTCTGCGCATCTCTTGCGAGAGAAAAACAAACAGGAAAAATAGATGTCCTCGGAATGTCAGCACAGACCCCCCCCCCTCGCGACCCTTTGACCCCTCCTCTCTCTGAGTGGGTCATTCCGAGGCCAGACCCCCAATACGTATTCAGGCGGGTCTGTGTTTGTGCCAAATCGTTGGAAGACAAAGGTGGCCGAGGAAATTTTTGGTTCTATGGAATGCATATTCTTTAAGTTGTGCGTGGTTGACCTATTTTGACTTCCTATTCTTCTGGATGACCGTTGTTCTAACTCTTAATAATTATTATTCGGTTTGTGATTTACCATGGTTATTAACACGTATTTTGTAGAGTTTATTGATGTTTGTTGTCTATCTGTATACAGGGATTGCACTGTTTTTCTCGAGTTATTTTTTTTTATGTCTTGAGGTTAAGTGTAAGTTGCCACTTACGCTTCCTTAACTGTTGGAATTCGTAATTATTTTTTTTTGGTCAGGTAGATAGAAACATACAATACAAAATAATATATATATACGGTGAATACGAGTAATATAAGGGAATATCTAATAACAAGCCCCTATTGTTTGCTGGTTAATTCTTTTTGTTAAGTTTCTACTTTTTGGTAAGGAAAACGTTAAAGCAAACGCGAGTTGCAACAGTTGTTTTTCTCTGTTTGGCACCTTATCCGTGCATCTCCAGATGTCTTGGGAGGTTAGGCCATCGACCTTTGTCCATCTGGATGTCTCTGACCTCTCTGTGCTCTGAAATCTTGCCACTTAATGGCCCTCCCTGTTTTACAGATTCCTGGTGTGCTTGTGAGGAGTAGTGGGTTGTTTTCATTATTTAATTTAAAAATATATATAGATATAAAAAAAATATATTTTTTTTTTAATTGTTCTTAATGAAAAAAAGGGGTATAGACACAACAATCCGCCCTTTAGAAAATTATCAGGGGTCGATTTTGCCACTGGCGAATATTCAAACAAAGTAAATGCCCCTTTTTTTTTTCGTTATGAATCCATCAGCCGCCCTCACTCTCGGCGGTTATTCCTTACCACGCGCGCGTACGTATCACAATCTTAACATGGTTACATTTGAAATAAGCAAAGAAAATAAAACAAAACGTTAACATCGATACGACATGTTACATCGGTTCTCATCCATCATAACTACGGCGAATATTAATTTTTGTTTTTGTTAAATCCTGGGAAACACTAGGTAGCGGTTTCGAACGCATTCCTTACAACGCGCGCGTACGTATCACAATCTTAACATGGTTACATTTGAAATAAGCAAAGAAAATAAAACAACGTTAAACATCGATACCACATGTTACATCGGTTCTCATCCATCATAACTATGGCGAATATTAATTTTTGTTTTTGTTAAATCCTGGGAAACGCTAGGTAGCGGTTTCGGACGCATTTCTGCATTATTTTCCTCCTGTTACCTACTTGCAATCTTTTTACCAAGTTATTATCATCTGGTTTGCCACTTTTAATTTTAGGTGGACATGCTGCTCCCCATGCACTGTCCTTCAGATTTGGTTCGTCCATAGCCTTTTCCTGTCCATTAACAATATTCTTATGGCCAGATATTTTAGAGTAACCCTTGGCTCTTTCATGCAATCTCCCAACATCATTAACTTGGTTCGTAGTGCTTATCGCTTTGATCTTTCGATCACGGTTTTCAGGTTCGTTTTTGTAATTTCCTCTATCACTCTCTCGCGTCGTGGGAGTGTGTGGTGTGAAATTGTGTTGCACATAACCAGAACTCGCGCACACAACCAACTTTGACACTTTGTTCGTGGCTCTTGCACTCTCTGCGATTACATCCACATTTACCGAGTCAGCGTGTCGATTTAATTCTGTGCCTCGTAATGTTGCCCTCTTTGTTTTTACGAGTGTGTTAGATTCCAACACCATTCCCGATATGTCATGAACATTCGTCTCCATTTTAGCACTCCGATCCACCTTAATTTTGGTTTCCCTTGGATATTTTTCATTCAAAGGCTCACGCCTGTACTCCTCAGGGCGTGTCTCTGTGTTCTCTCTCCCTGCACCACCATCGCGCGCTCCTGCGACGTGCTGCACTGTTTTTTTGGTGCGCTCTGGTTGTCTTCTTTGTCTCTGCTGTCTGTTATCTACTGTCCGATCACACTTAAATGCAGTCCTGTCCTTGCATTCGATCTGCGCATCATTTACGGGAGCACTGCTCGTGTTTCCTACCGCCTCGTATGCATTTAATGTTTCCTGATCGTGGCGGTATTTGTCCGCCCTGTCACTTGCAGCCTGCTTGCATTTTCCAATGAGCCCCAGATTTAGTTTCAACTCAGCGGGTGGGGTGCGTATGAGCAGCTCGCTCTCAATCACTGTGGGTGGTTCATCACGTATTTGGACCGCATTTTGTGTTGTTTCTCTATTCCCTCCTGGTATAGCCGGTGGGGAAATCGGTCGGAATTGGACCGATTGTGTTTGACCTCCCATCCTGCGATTCTCCTGAATGTTGGCCTCCGTACCTCCGCAGTCTATGTACCACCTTCCCGCTAGATGGTTATCTCGCCATCTTTGCGTGTAATTTTGACCTTGCGTGTGTCGTGGCATGGGGTGTTGATATGGTTC